ACATTTCAATACCCGAAGCGCTAATCGTAAGCATTTTGACGCTAATGTCTTCGCCGCCAGAAAACCCGCGCGACAGCCGAGAAGTGTTGCACTCAGTGCTCGAATAGTAGGTCTCGTCGCCGCTATCATCTCTGGTCGACGGATTGGTGGCCACACTCTGGACATCCAACTGATCTTTGGTGACTGTGGCGTCACTTTGTGTACTACTCTGACTGCCACTGTCGTCGCTACCACTGCTGCTGCTGTCGGTGATAGTGATGGCCGACAACGACAGCTGCTGACCGCCCGATGGAGTGTACAATTTGGTGATCGATGATTCAAAATTTAAGAGATGACGTTTGGCAATATCTATAACGTTGGCCACACCCGCGCGCCGCAGTATCTTCTTCCTCGAGACCATCAAATCGATAATGAGATTAATGACCACTTCGTGATTATCTGGTCCTAAGTTTCCTTCAAAATAAATCAATGAATACTTATATGAAAAAACAGAAACTTTAAAATCATTTAAAAATTGATGCAATTTAACAAAGAAATGGCTAATTATATCGACACTAAACTACAGTAAACACTCGCTATAGTGTACTATTCAATAAATAAATAAAATCATAGATTATATAAACATATGATTTATTAATTAAAATTAAGAATGAATTACAAAGACATCAGAGATATAGTGTTTAAGTGATTACATAGTTGTTGTCATAAATATGATTAGAATTCATACAAAAAACACACAAATAGTTAACTAAAAATCAGGTATTGATAGAAGTGTTCAGTAATTCAACTATAAATGAGATAAAAATGGCTGAAAAAACAGAAAGAAATACAAAAAGACAAAAATCTGGTGATTATTAGGTTTTCATCACAAATAATGATTTGTTTAAAGAAAAAGTCTTAAAATGGATTCGACTCTTAAAGCCTCCGCTCGGCTCTCAATACAAGACAATTGACACGCGAGAGACAATCGCTTTAATAGTAATTACTATTAAACGGTTCCATAGGACCGGAGTAATCAAACTGATCGTACAGTTGGCCGACACCACCCATCATACCGCCGGCCGCCGACTGATTCCTGGCCTCAAAGTTTTGACGCTTGCGGTTAGAGTTGGTGAACACAAAAGCCCTTTGTTTGGGTGCTTTGCCGCCGAATCGGTTGCCTTCGTAGGCGCCGATCACCTCTATATCATCGGTGGTATACGAGCGGTTCGGCTGTTGCTGTTGCGACATCGCCTTAGAAGCGGTCACTTTGTCCAACTGTTCCTCAAGAGTGTCGCACTTTCGCTGCAGATTCTTCTTCTCTTCGGTAACTTTAAGCAAATGTTGGTATACTTTCTTCAACTCGTCCTCGAGTTTACGGTTCTTCTGGTCGCTCTTCAGCGCCTTCTCCTCCGCTAACATCAACTGTGTCTTTAGGCCAGCGGTGCGTAACTCCACGTCCTTTGCGATACTCTCCTCTTTGGATGTGTTTCGCGATGGCGTCGGAAACTCGCCGCTAATGTCCAGATTCGAGTGCCCGCCGGCCGCGCGACGTCTGGCCGTATAGCCGGTACCGCCGCCGCCATTCTTGTTGACGGGCGTACTCTTAGCGCGCGGCGAATTGATCACCAAATCCGGGTACAGAGCTTTGGCCCGTTCGGCGCCAATGATGTCCACAATCTCTAAGTCCACATCCATCGGGCGATCGCCGATGTCTGCGGCCGCTGAGCGGCGACCGTCAGCACCGCCTCGACTGCCGCCGGCGCCGCGCATTCGCGACGCGAAGCCAATCAACTCGAGAATAGGCTTGTGGTAGTCATTCCAGTGCATCTCCGCGATGTCCATCGGGTTCCGGAAGCTCTGTTCGCGCAGTATCTCCACCCGAGAGTTGGCCAACTCATCCTTCAGTTTAACCATTCCTGCAATTCAATGGATCGATTCGCTATTGGTTTATGCTTTTCACATCACATCACAAACACTTCCAATTGATCCCTCAATTAATGCCTATTTTT